ATGTGAGAATGGCATTAATGGCAAAAAGCTGCCACTGATGGCGTATTCGCTTTTCTTGAAGAGCTACAGATGCCAGCTCTCTATCTGCACAGGAATCGCTTTTGTAAAAGATTAGTCACTTTCAGGGGCGGAGCGAGACTTTTCCATCTCCTTCAAGACAAGTGGTATTTAAATGACTTAGTTTCGATGTTGATCATATATTGAGAAGCAAACAGGAAAAAAAAAAATTCCTGAGCAAGACTGTTTCTGCAAACAGCTTTTGATGAGTTGGCTTCTATCTCCAAGGTGCCCACAAGCAGCCTTTATTTTTCTAAACGCGACCTGTTCTGCTTACAGTCAAATGCGTTTTCATGCTACTTACAAACATAAATACTTGTACTTTGCTCAAATCATAATAGCTCATTAGAGGATGCTGGTCTCGGACCCAGACTCCAGCCCAACACCACAGGGCTGAGGAGGCCTCCCTGAGCCTCCCGCGTGACCAGCTGCCTCTCTGGGGAAACAGAGAACTGAGGCTGAGGATCCAACCTTCTTAATTGTGAACCTCATTAGTGATGGCTACTGAGCAAAGCACACACCTACCTTCAGTGCATGGGAAGGAGATAAACAATATGTCACGAAGTCTAATGACTCCGAGGCTCAGGGCGACCTTTAATTATTATATTTTTGTTCTCTTATACCTTAGTCATTAACGCAGAAAAACAAATTAGTTTATTTTTGTGGACGACAGCAAATTCATAAATTATCTTCCCGTTATTCTGTCTGAATCATAGTTCATTCTGATAATCTGCACAGGCTTCATTCACTTTCCTGCGTCTGTGTCCTGTCTGCCTCACGTGTGGATCTGTCTTAAAACCGTTTAGTTTTATGGGCTATTTGCCCTGAAGGAGTTAATCATGTTGTTTTGTCTGCAGTTCACTTTTTCAAAGAAAAAGTCACATTGTTTTCTCAACAACTCACAGGGGTCAGAATCTCATGATTCTCGAGAAATGTGTGATGGGGAAAAGGGGTCTGATTTGGAAGGAGTGTGTTAAATCCTGGGTACCCAGGCATCAGCACAGGACAGGACGTGGTGTAAAAGGCTTGGTGAACGCCCCAGCATCTGAGTTTTTCTAAATTCTGACTTGATGTCTGAAAACACTTTTCCCTGTCTTGCACTCTTACCAAAATTCTTCTCTTTTCACAAGCAAAACAGAAGTCAACCACTGGGAAGCATTTGGTAAAAAACACATTTTATACTGTTTTGTTTCTCATGCCCCCATCAGCTGCCCCCTTCATATGCACACACAACACACGCATGCTTACAAACACATTCACACACACACACACGTACAAATACGTATACACATACATACACATATATTTAAAAAACCAAACCCATTGCCATCGAGTGGATTCCAACTCATGGTGACCCCATGTGTGTCAGAGTAGAACTGCTCCATAGGGTTTTCAGTGGCTGATTTTTTGGGATTGCCAGGTCTTTCTTCCAAGGTGCCTCTGGGTGGACTTGAACCTCCAACCTTTCAGCTAGCAGCCGAGTGCTTAACCATTGGTGCCATCCAGGGACTCCCTACATACGTACACACATACACACAAAAAACATACACACATATGCATATACCCAGGACACACATATGCACACATACATGCATATACACATGTGCATACATATACATACACACACAAACACATACACTCACACACAAACACACACGTGCATATACACATGTGCATACATATATACACACACACACAAACACACACACACAGACACATACACACACACGTACATATATACATGCACCCACACACACACACATGCATATATATACACACTCTCACATACACACAAATACACACACGTATATACACACACACATACATGATGTGCATATACACATGCGTACATATACATACACACACATACACACGTGCAAATACACACATACATATACATACACACACATGCATATACACATGTGCATACATATATACATACACACATACACACGTGCATATATACATGCACGCACAAACACATATACACATGCATATATACATACACACACTCACACATAAACACACATACACATGCATATATACATACACACATACACGACGTGCACGTACACGTGCATATACATTCACACACATAAACACACATGCATACACACATAAACACACACATGCATATACACATGTGCATACATATACACACACTCACACTCACCCACATACATAAACACACACACACACATTCACACACGTCCACACACAGCACCCAGAGGCAGGCAGTGGCCCTCAAAGTCCCTTCGCAGCTGACTGGCCCAGGCTGGCCCATCCACGAGGACGTGCACAGAGAAGTCTGGGAACGACCCTCTCTCTCAGTGGGGGCTCACCACAAGCCAAAAAGAAAACCAAATAAATTAAAACTGCAAGGAAAGCTGTAAGCAACATAAAGTTTCAAAACAAACAAACCAGTAAAAAAAAAGTGGAGGCTATGGTGAAGAGGTGAGCTTGCAAGCCAAGTCACCCCGCAAAGGGGAGAGAAGGCGGGAAAGGCAGAGGCCCCTCCCTCCCGCGCGCGCTGCCTGCCGAAGGTAACTCGACGTGAAACAACAGAAAGATGGAGGAAAGAAACGGAGGCATTGCAAATTAAAAACGAAACAAAAAACAAAAAAACCATGTAACATGTGCCTACCATTTTCCAGATAAGAAGGGGCCGTACCTTCGGACGGGTCCAGGCGGCGGGCCCGTCGTCCGTGTTTGGAGTTGTTGTGTACAAACATGTTGTCAGACACAGCCAGCACGTGGCCGTCCACGTTGACCGTTGTGGATACAACCACCTGTAAAGACGAAGTGGATTGGAAAACGCAGTCGCCCAAGGGAAGCCCAGCCGCCCGTTCTCAGGCAAAAGAAAAGCCATCTTAAATATCGCGGAGCAAAAGGGACACCTCACCAGCTCCTGGGAAGTCACCACTGACTGACGTGACTTCCCGGCCTTTTCGGCTAATGGCGGTGGGTGGGTCTTCGTGTTTTGTTTTGCTTCGACTCAAGATTGCTTCTCTTCAGAACCCGCTGCACTAATTACAGCTTAATCTCTTATTATGCTAACAAGTGAATTCAATTCAAAGAAATATTCTTCTAGCCATTAGCTTCGGAAACACCCCTCTAGCCACTCATTTTAAAGCTGCTGTTTTGATTGATCTGTTCACATATTGATTGGATAGTTTATCTAATTAAAATCTGTTCACTCGGGACTGTCCTCCGTGTAGAGTACTGAGGATGTAGACTTGCCAAAAAGCCTTCATAAATCAGAAGCGCTCGACTCCGCACGTCCTACCAGCACATGATTGCTGGGTCAATTTTACAATCACATTTAATGTCTGATAATGAACTTTTTTGCATCTGAAAAGACCACGTTGGGTATAAATAGTGAAAGTGTTTTCAACCCAGGAAAGGCAGCCTTGCTCAGGCTCCCTGTGATGGCTGGCCCTGGACCCTGGTATGCCAGTGGAATTTCCTCCTTTCTTCTTGAGTGAAAGGCTTCCATTCTTACGTCCAGGTTCAGAGCGCGGCCAGAGAGGGGATGACGGATAAGGCCTTCTTGAGCTCCAGCTGCTCGGTGGTGGAGGCAGAGAAGGAACGCATGCCCACAGGGACAGCGCTGCTGGCCCAGACACCTTCCAGGTGAGCCTGTGACCTGCATCCCAGAAACGGCGCCCTGGAACGGGCCCAGGACACAGGACGCGACAGCCCAGCCCACAGACTTTCTGTGATAGAGTGAGTCCATGGGGGTCGTCATTTCCAGAATGGGCAGAACAGCACAGATAGGTGCCCAGGTTTAAGCTGGGCCGTGTAGGAGGTGTCCTACTGTGGTCTGAGTCCAGATTTGGGGTGAAGGCAGCCTGGTTTTTGCCACAGTTGGGGCAGACTCAGCCAGGTCTTTGGGGCGGTGTGAGGGTCAGCATCACCCTAGTGACCCAAAACCCTACAGAGAGATGCGCGTCTTCAGCAGGTGAGTGGGGAACCAGAAAGTGTCCCCAGCCAACGTCCATCCACCAAGCTCGGTCTGGACATGTCCCCACATACTGTATAAAATGAGTGACTCAAAGCCAAAGCTTCACACTCATGCATGAATACACTCAGAGTAACTACTTTTTACAAAATATCTCAGAAGCCCCAGACGACAGCTCGGCAGGGACAGTACCCACGACGGCCCGCCACAGCCTCTCACCGGGGCAGCTCCCTCAATGATCCACCCGCTCTGGGCACTGCCAAGGACGCTGAGGTTCCCACGACATCAGGCCCATCTGAAGCTGCAGCATCCGAAGTGCTGCCGTGAGGGCCCCAAGGTCCACTTTCAGGCATTTTGGCATCTTGTCTCGCTGCTGGTCACAAGGCAAACGGCTGCGTGGTTCTTCGGAGCACTGGTGGGAGAACGGCTCAGCCGCCACGTTTGGCTACTCTGGTGCCACTAGCGGGCCAGGAACGGAGCCCTGGTGGTGCAGTGGTCAAAGCGCTCAGCTGTGTACTGACAGGTTGGTGGTTTGAACTCACTAGCCGGTCCAAGGGAGAAAGATGTGGCAGTCTGCTTCCGTAGAGATTACAGCCTTGGAAACCCTACGGAGCAGTTCTACTCTGTCCTACAGGGTCGCTATGAGTTGGAATCAGCTCGACAGCACATAACAACAACAGTGGACCAGGCAGAATCCCTGGTGCTTCACACTTAAAGAGCTTGGTTGCTAACCAAAAGGTTGGAGGTTCAAGTCCACCAAGAGGGGTCTTGGAAGAAAGGCCTGGCAAGCTACTTCTGAAAAATCGGCCACTGAAAACCCTATGGAGCACAATTCTACTCCGACACACATGGGGGATCGCCATGAGTTGGGGTCGGCTCAACGGTGACTGTTTTAGCGGGCCTAGCAGCCTTGGCCTGGGGACCAGCGGCTGTCCTGCTACCCACATGCCCTCCCAGCAGTCTATGTGCTAAGCCCCACCCTAGCCACTGACTGAGCTCTGTGTTCATGGTGCGTTAGAGATGCGCGTAATAGAACCGGGGCACAGGCTCAGTCCCTTCTGAGTCTCCTGGACCATGATATGTTAAAGAAACAAGAAAAGGTAAGATGTATTCATTTAAAAAAAAGAGAGACAGAGAGACCGTCTTTTCTCTGCTGTCTATGAAGAGGTCCGTCACCAAGGGCAATGGTGGAGTTGAGCAGAAGGGAAGCAGACCCGCTGCGTCTGTCTCTTGGCCTGGGCCAGCCCTGCAGTGCCCCCCAGGAAGGTGCTGAGACCAGAAACGCAGGGAAGACACCGTGTAAGTCCTGACGTGCTGTTAAGTCCAGTTAAACCTGAGAAGCAGGCAGATTAGCTACAGAGACTGCAGGAAGTCCTTCCAGTAACGACGGGCTCCAAGGTCGACCCCAACATCACTTGTGATGAGGCTTCATTCCATCTTGAGTGAGACAAAGAGGATGCGGCCACTCGGTCTGGGTGTGGCCTCCCACCCAGCTCAGATGGATCAACTTCGCTAGGGCCTTGGGAAGCTAAGATGCGTGAAAAATGGTGGCGTGGCCAACTGTTTGGAAGGAACACATTCCCAGCTACAGGGTGTCACCAAAGGCCCCAGCTCCTCTGATACACTCGTGGGACACGGAGATAGATACCACACGCTCACTGAACCGCTCTGTTGTTGTCAGATGTTGTCCAGTCGATTCCAGACCCGTGACGACCCCATGCACAGTGGAGAGGAACGCTGCCAGTTCCTCAGCCACCCCCGTGACTGGCTGCAGATCGGACTGTTGCGATCACAGGGTTTCCACTGGCTGGTTTTTGAAGATCACCAGGCCTTTCTTCCTAGTCTGTCTTGTCTGGACGCTCGGCTGAAACCTGTCCGCATCCTAGCAACATGAAGCCTCCATTGACAGAAGGGTGGTGGATGTACATGAGGTGGACTGGCTGGGAATCAAACCCGGGTCTCCCACATGGAAGGCGAGAATTCTACCACTGAACTGCCAGTGACTAAAGGGCTTAAGCCTAAGCTAAGCTTCTGAAAAACACTTTCAACTATTTTGATGAAAAAAACAGTCTAAACCCCAGAACCACTTGGTAGCTCATCTTGTTAGGGTCCTTGGGTCCTCAGCACTGAGCCACCACCGGGGCTGGATTTTCCTGCGGTGGTGGGGTGGGGGGGCCCTCCTGGATCGGCTTGTGTTCCAGCTCGGAATATTTTTACAATTCAAATTAGCAAAATACTCCATCATGTGTGCGGTGTACCCTTCACCCAGGAGTAACTTCCTAATCACAAACACAGGCAAGAAAAACAGGAACTCTAACAGAATTCATCCCTGACTCCCACAAGCTGTTCACCTCTCTGCTTTAGACAGAATCCCCTGAGGTATAGAGCCCTGGTTAACCTGGGTCCAGGAACACAATCTAGCAATGAGGCATGGGAATAAGCGGGCAAGCCCACTTCAAATTCAGAGGAAGAAAGCTTAGCTAGGAAAACGCTCTGGACTCTAGAGCAATCTGTAGCAACGCCTGCATTAAGTAGGTGCAGATCTCCTTATGAGAAGGGCCTGAGATCTTTCATATACCTAACACTATCATTCTCCTCCCGCTGAAAATAAAAAATAAACCCCTTTTAAGCCAGCTTCAGCATGGGCTCCAAATTCTGACCAACCAAACAGGAACAGTGACGGACAGGTGAGGAAAGAAAGGCTAAATCAGACACTAACATTAAGAGGACTTTATCTGAGAAACATTTTATTAAACAATCATTCTGAAACGCACCCATCAGACTACCCTGTTTAAACGTCAGAGGGAACCCCACTTAATCTACAGCTCTGATAACTCTGTTTGCAGGATCTTCAGCACCCAGCCAGCCAGTCTGGGGCAGTGCCCACCCTAAGAGGCACCCCTTGTAACAGCAGACCAGCTGAGGTCCTGCTTCCGGAGCTGATTTCACTGAGCTATGACGGCACTTGATCACTCTGGGGCACTGCAGATACCTGACCATTTGTAAAGCATTTTATTAAAATGTTTTACTAAACGAACCAATTCTGGTTTTCAGCCAAGCACTTGGGGAACTCGATTGTTTTCTGCACACTTCCAAAATCAGAGAATTGAGGGTTCATAGTAAAAGTCAGGACCGCGCACGCCCGTCCTTAAAGATGTGTACCTGGAACCTCCGCATATCCCGAGGGTTGCCTGCATTCTTCAAACAGTTCTGATTACACTTGAGGAAAAACTTTAGAAAGAATCTATAAAGACACAAAAACGAACATTTGTTAGGATTGTCAGAAAAAAGACACAAACTTTTTACAAGCAACTCTTGTATAGGGCGTAGGCGAGACTCAACCCCGCGACTTCCTGCTAGCTGCCCTGTAGGGGGCGATATTGAGAGACAACCCCGGCAGAGGGAGCAGGTCACCGTCGGTCAAATGGCCATCGTGAACCACCTCCACCTAGGAAAAGCGGTGACTGGCACTTGCTTGGGCATTTTTTATTTTCAAGCTTCATGTTTTTGAATCTGTCACTTCTTGCCCAACAGGTCGTGAACCCCGGAGGAAACACCCACCCCAGGCAGGCCTTCCAGATTCAGCAAATAAAACAGGACGCCCAGCTAAATTTGAGCTTCAGACACACGACAAATAACTCTTTAGACAGGTATGCCCCAAAGCTGGAAAGTTATTCGTTGCTTGTCTGAAATCCAAGTTTAACTGGACACCCTGAATTTTATCTGGCAGTCCTAACCCCAGAGGACATGATTGCCTAGATAAATATACTTTTAAAGACAGATTTAAAGAGTTACAATCGGTACCACGCTTAAGAAAAGAAAGGACTTTTGGGGTGTTGTTTTAAGGACTACAGCGATTTCTGTGGAATGTCTACATGTGTTTTTAAGGGTCTAACAGGTGCCCTGATGATGCAACGGTTAAGCGCTGGCTGCTAACCGAAAGGTTGGCGGTTCCAACCTACCCAGCAGCTCCGAGGGAGAAAGACCTGGAGATCTGTTCCCATAAAGACTGCAGCCTAGAAAACCCTCCGGGGCAGGTCCACTCTGTCACATTCGGGTCACTATGAGTCGAAAATCGACTTGACGGTACTTAATCATGACAACAACAATGAATGCATCTGGTGCAATGGTGAAACTGTTGCTGTTCCCCAGGCAGAGAGGAGAAGGCAGACATGGGAGCTATTTCTGCCTCCCGCCAAGCCTGGCCATTGTGTTTGGAGGCATGAAGCTCAGGGGTCCTGACGGTGTGTTGAGATGTGGTGACGAAACCTCACCACTCTGACTTCTCCTTTCCTACATGCTCAGTGATGGAGGCAGAATCCCTGCCTTACAACAGGGACGAACTGACACAGGGTCACCTGACTACAACACCCACCAGGGCAGAAACAGGGGATCTTGTCCCCGTACAACCTCGGCCGCATGCAAGAAGGTCGCATCCACCGTGAGCGGAAGGTGTGCTGTCCACACTGACCTCTGGAATCTCAACATACTGGCCAGCAACGCTACCGACAAAATCCACCTCTATTTTCTTTCAGAACACAGTCTGCCCTACTTGGCCCTGATTGACTTTTTATGAAGTTTCACAAGATTTCCTCGAGCTCAATCCTATGTTTCAAGGTTCCCTGTTGACAATTATCATTTCAGAAAATACAAAGGCTCAGTGGACGAAGACTCGTTTCCCTAACCGAGTAAGACTCGGCGCGTCCTGGATGACTTTTCACACGGCAGAGGGAAATACAACCGATGGGAAACAGAATCGTGGACCGTTACATTTTCTTCACACCAAAAGGCCTCGTGATTTTTGGCCAGAATTTACATCTTTTATTAACTCGCCTCACCTACCCGCTTAGCTCACGATGTCTCTGAAGGCCCTCTGCCATCAGCGTCCAGTAAGTCACTTGATATTCCACCCACCAATTTTTCCTAACAAGCACTGTGCAATTAAACGCCACGCACTCTGCAGCGAGGTGAATCAGGCACACCTGCGTCCAGGCTGCATCGGAACTGCCTCAGAAAGGGCCTAACAAGGTGAGGGCGCCACAGAGTTATTGTCCTGTCAGGCAATTAGGTTCTCACTTTGGGGACAGCCACGCGGTGCAATTACGCCACACATTACCACCCGGCTAATCTGAGCAGGCGCGGCTGCGAAGCTGCTCCTCCACAAGGCACCCGCCCGGGGCGGCCCCGGAGCCGCGCGGAGGTGTGGGCGGGCTTTGCCCCCACAGCAGAGGTCTTTAAAATCCTCGGTGTCTTTTTAGCCAGTTCGCCTTCTGACTCCAACAGAGAAAGGGTGGTGACGACGTCCCACCAGGCGCTGCCCTGGGTGCCCACCGTGAGCTGGGCCTGGACCATTGTCCCTTGTAGAAGTGAGCTGGATGGTACTGGGTGCTGGGCCCCGTGAATGTCCTGGGTGTGAACACACACACCCCCACACACACTGTAAAACACACACTATGCACGCCACACACACCACAGTCACATTCACACACACACACATCATACACACACAACCACACACCCTCACACACACCGTACCACACACACTTACACACACATGCATATACACCACACACACCATACACTCACATGCCACATACACCGTATACTCTCATTCACTCACACACAATACACTCACAATCACATACATTATACACACCACACACCCTCACACACACCAGGCACTCACACACATCACACACATTATATACACACTCACACATACTCTCATATACACCCTCACACACACTCATACATGCATCACATACATTAAACACACCATACGCTCACACACACACATACACCACACTCACACACACTCACACCCTCATACACATTCACACACTCAAACACACACCCTCATATACACTCACACACACACACACCCTCTCACACATTCAAACCCACCCTCACACATTCACACACTCTAACGCACACACCCTCTCACATATTCACACTTATGCATTCACACCCTCACACATTCACACACACACACCATACTACACTCTCACACCCTCATACACACTCTTACACACACATCCGCATACACATTCACTCTTACACACACACCCTCATACACGTTCACACACTCTCACGCATTCACACTCAGTCTCACATACCCTCTCGCACACACACCCTCTCGCACACACACACTCACTCGCCCTTATTCTGTCCGAGGTGGCGATGGCATCTGCCTCTGTCCTGAGGGCCTCAAGGTGCCATGAGCACGTGGGAAGCCACGCGGAGCATGGCCCCAGAGAGCAGGTCCTTGTGAAGCACTCGGCTCCCAATTACACACACAAAGGAAAGTACAGCAACAAGTGCTGTCTCGCCCGGGCCTTGGGACAGCGGAAGGACAGACGGCGGGTGGGGAGGAGGAAGCCGCTTCTCATGCACTTTCTACCCTCAGTTTATGTGTGGCTCAAAGACTCAGTTAAGTCCGCAGAAAGCTGGTGGCCCAGCCTGGCTAGCAGGTGACCACGGACATTGCACACAACCAGGTATGGGGCACAGGTGTGCTCTACCTGGGACGTGCTCAATGCAACGCACCGTTCCGGTGTTTGGGGGTGATGAGAAAACTGAAGACCCGTCGCAGGAAGTCGAATGGTGAATCCCATCCTTGACTCAATTACCCTTTAATTGGCTTTTTCCTAAGAAAGATCTGACAACCACTTTACATATCTCACTTCCAGACTCTGGTCCACACAGGATTTAATACTCTTGTTATGAAAGGAAAAATCTTTCCTATGTCAGAAAATCTTTGGCTTTAGCACCAATAAACCCTTTATTACTGCTAAACATGGATCTGCTGCTCGATGGCAGAGAGGCGATAAAAATCCTCACCTGTCATTAGAACACGACGCTTAATTGTGTACAGTGTGCTTCTCATTGCATCTGTTGGCCCATCCTCAAAATGACCATTATGTGGACTAATTCCCTGACCCTGTCTTTATTTCCCTAAAGAGTCATCATCTCGCACGGTAGGTACCAGAGTAAATCAAGCTTGAAATATGGGCTTTATTTACTCGTTTCTCCCAGGCAGGAGGGGAAGACAGCCACTAAAGACAAGCCTCTGCACCTCAGTAGCAACGCCCCAGTAATATTCAACTTGGAAGCAGCTTACAAAATTCTGGAAAGTTCTCCACAGCTATCAGAAGGGTAAAAGGTGTGAGCTTTTATCACTTCTGAAGTCAGGCCCCCTGATTAGGACAGAATGCCACCCTGGCTCCAACTGGCTCCCCGTCTCAGGCATCAGGACCCGAGGAAGATGGATTGAGGAGCACCCATGGGCTCCTTCCATGAGAGGTCAGGGGTAGGGGTAGCAGACCCTGAGCCACTGATATCTTGAGTTTAAGCTAGAAATTCTAAGGCTATTATCATCTCCACGAGGACAGTTATTCAATTGTTCTAGCCGGAACTGTGGTCCTTGCCATACCCAATGAAGAAAGTTGAACGCTGGATCTTTACTGGGTTTCTATCAGAATCCACTCAACAATCCTAACACCGAGGACAGCGTCCAGCACCGAGCAGCAGAAAGACGACACTTTAGATTGGGCTGAAATAATAATGGGACCAGCCACTTTAACCAGAACCCAACCTAAGTGTCCCAAAACACGGGACCAGTCCCCACCACCATCGCTAATTCCAAAGTCTGCTCACTCTGGGTGTTTAAGCTATGAATTAGTTCATTTATATTTACTCTTATGAAGCTGATTAACCAGAGCTTTGCTATCTGATGAAAATCATTTTAATTGTGGTGTTAGGCTCCTGTGTAATACCCATTACTTTATGAACTGTTTAAATTCTACATGGGTATTGTGTAAATTGGCCCTTTGTGAGCTAGCAGGCTATTAGGACCAAACAGCTCTCCTTTAAACGGCTACAGAACTTTGTGGTGGTGTTCAGAACAATGAGAAACAAAACAGGCTGTTTAATTGTAATTTAATGGGATATCAAGGAGTCTGTGGCATTAGATGCTGGCAACAGAGAGCAGGAGAGAAAAATTAACTGCAATTATGTTTGATTAAAGCTATCCTTCTCAATAATCAGTGGTCCTGACAGGCCAGGAGGCTCTAGTGGGCTTCAGGATGGCAAAAGGTGTTCAGCAATATTAGGGCCAATAAAGGAGATATTAGCATAGCTAATTACAGCCTTGCAAAACCCGTAAAGGGGGCCTCTGTGTATTGTAATGTGTGAAATAATTGTCCAGGGCCGTTATCAATTACATAAGGAATGAATTTGGTTTGTCAGAGAAAAGCTGATGAGATGCGTTTCATCTGACACCAGTCCCTTCTCTCACGCTCCCGTGCAAAGAACCTCTGCACTTTTACCCAAAGCTGCTACCTACCAGTGGCCACATGGCTGATAAAATGATCTCGCCAGCAAGCGTACGTAATTAATACAGCTCATCCCGCCGCGTTCCCTGCCACGGCTGTTTTTCACCTAACTGAAGCCACCGGTCGTGTAATAATGATTTCTTCCCCTCTGGTCAAAGGAGAAATAGACTGTCTCTCCTTAGACGCGTAGCCAGCCTGGCTTCGCACCCCGGCCATCAAGGTGACAAGGAAACTGTGCACAGTTTTAATTACCCGCCTTTTGCGGGTGGACATGCCTTGTTCGGAGCTGCCTGCTTCCCAGCATCTCAGCAAACCCGATACGCGACTTTCTTGCCTTGTTTTGGTTTTCAGTTGCCGAGTCTTAGACTGTTCCAGGGCTTGGTTCTGCCAGTGTCTGAAAATGTTTAAGTCGCAGCGTGGACTTGCGTGGCCGTGTGGAAAGGCGCCTCACCAAACGGTGTGATTCCTGCGTGGGACCCACCTTCAGCTCCAGGTTAAGCGGCCACCCTCAGCAGGAAGGGGTCTCGCTTCTACCAGATCCCCCAACACCCACATTCGGGCTTCCAGGCCCCTTACCAGCGGTCAGGACCTTCTCCTCTGGCCCTCATTTATGGTTTAGGTGGGGAATCTGGGTCAAGAATGAAGAATATTGGTATCTTTTATGGGAGGGGTACAGTCTTCAGGAAGGGTTCTTAATAAGCGGTGAACTAATGCGGCACCAGATAGGATTCGATGTAATCAATCAAAACCCCAGAGCACCCACGTGTGAATCACACGGTGACAGCTTCCAGGGGTTAGCGGGGGACCCCAAGAGAGTCTGATTCAGACTCAGCCCCTACGTTTATAGTTTCTATTGAACCCGGCATGCAAATCCAGGAGACAATGTTAATACGTCATAACCGTGACAAGAAAAAGTGAGTAAGGAAGAATCAACCACAAAATGCAGTTGGAAAAGTCACCGCCCGCTGGTGGTTGCCGGGGGCCGGGGGGAGTGGGGGCTGGGGGCATTTCCTTGGGGGGTGATGACAATGTTTGGGAGCTAGACGGGGCGGGGGGCTGCACAAACGTCGTGAATATACTCAGTGCCACTCAAGTGTTAGCTTTCAAATGGTGCGGCTTAGCTCGTGTTAGTTTCACTTCAATTTTATAAAAGAAATGCCCCCCCCCACCAACACTGAGAGCCCGGAAGCACGTGGACGGCGAGGCCCTCATTCCTCTATTGAAATGAAATAGTTAAGAGTCAGATGAAAAGATAGAGCCTGTAAGAGACTTTTCTCAGACTGATACGAGTCGCCGCGGAGGGCTGGCTGGCTCGCAGTCTCTGCTAATTACTGAGAAGTCCGTGAAAGCAGGGGCCGCAGCTGTGCCGTGGGCTCGCCGGTCATCAGTCACTGGAGTATTGATTACTGAGCAATTCTAGCCGATCGGGTTCTGGGGCTTCAGAGACAATGTGTTTCCCTCCCTCACCAAATCTGTAATGAGCAGTTCGTATACAAGACTGTGCTCTGCTGACATCAGATGTCTGCACGGAGATAGTACACAGGTCAATACGTATCGGATTTCCAAAATGCACGGGTCTTAATGTCAGGCCTGGCTTTTCCTCCCTCTCCTGCCATTAGCTATTACTGGGCTCACGTTCTTTAATGCCATCCAGGAGAAAAAAATCTACTCCATTAGTCTGATTTATTCTTCAAATATGCCATGACAAATTGCTTTAACACCAGACTTATTAAATTCTTGTACATTTCAAGTTATGGGTCTCATATCCTTGTGGTATCGCCATGACGTCATCACGCAGGGGGCAGAGGGTAACGGTATTGAATTTTACAGCTGGGCCCAGATGTCTTCTGTCAGGGTCCCCCCCCTCCCCAGCCGAGAGGTCTGGGGTTGTTTGACTCCCCACCGCCAGTACCTGGTCCCTGCGCGCGGCATCCCCGCGGCACGCATGATATCCTGCATGTAAATGTAGACGTATAAGGATTTGAAAATATCCACGGCTTGACTGTGGTGCCACAATTACTGGCCTTTGTCTGCAGGCGTCTGCTCGACTGTAGCAGCTTCTGTCTCTGGTGGACCCAAGCTATTTTACTTTCCTTCGCTGTAGTAACCACACCGCATTAACAATATTTGTACTACAATCGCCAGGGGACCCACTTCCCAGATTCTATCACTTCTTTATCTCCTGACAAATACCTCACTATCGAACATTATTAGGTTTAGAAAATTAACCCTTCGCAGCCTAGAGCCACACCAGGTCCCACCGTCCCTCCAAAGAGCCTTATCGCTAAATTTCTCCTATAATGGTTTTTCTTTTCATTGCAATTTCAGCCTCGGCTGTCAAGAGGCACTTATAGATACCATGATCTTGTACTTTTGCAATGATTCTCATTAAAATGATGCCAAAGAGATCAGATGGGATTTAATGGCTCTGCCGGCCAGTTCAATATCCACTCCTGTAACACAAGCGGCCGCCAAGGCTTCCGTTTGGAGGAATTTGTATGACTTGCATTAAACTTTCCGGGGTGGCTTTAATGCGTTCAGATAACTACAACCCAGGTAGACACTCCAAAAGCCAACGCATCCCGGACTCTTATGCTTCGTCAGTCACCCTCCCCGGCTGGCTGTCAGGATTCTAGTTAGTATTTTCTGTAACTCTTCCTGATATTTCATGATGGTTTTGATAAGGTTATCTGTTTAAAGGAAGTCAGCTGCACAACACAAAGAAATGTGAAGTGCGCTCTATTTACACGAGGGCTCTTGTTTCAAGTGTCTATCTTTCTTTCTTCCCCCTTTACCTATTTCTCTATTTCTAATGGGCAATGTAGCATTGACATTATTTCCTCAGCAGATCACTCGCCCTGTCAATCAGTCTGTATTTTGTCTTTCGCTGCGGGCTCATTAAAATAGCTTCCTCACTCCCTCTGGACACTGCTCCATTTGCCAGCTCTGATCACGGAGCTCCTTATTTAAGAAAAATGCCAGTATCACTTGGCTCACATCAAATGCACCCCCACTGACTTGTTGCCAGCTCCGGGGGAGACTTTTACGGGTTGTGCAAAGATGAAGTAGCTCTGCTTACCGGAACTTTGGGTTGCAAACCTCTCCTGCCAACGCATGTGCGTTTTCAGGGATCTGAAGTCACCGGGGCCACTTCTGGTCACTCGGATTTCTGCCGGCCACCAAGACAAAACAAACGTGGCGTATCTTTTCTCTTTCTTTTTTTTTTTGACCTCCAAGTAGGGAGCTCATCCTTTCCTACTCAAACGTACATTTTCCTCATCCATGCCAGCTTGCTTAATTAAGAACGATCATCTTTGTAGGTTGAATTATTAATTAAAAAAATCACATTTTAAATCAAGTCCGTGCACGCAAGCAGGACACCAGTGTTGAACCTGCCTCTGCTGGGCTCTCCAGCCTTTCAGGTCCTGATTAAAAACTTATTAAAACATTATAAATGATTAATGGGCACACAGCTCTGAGTGGCAATTATTAGTTTTAATGCAGGTAATGCAGCTTAATGAGGGGCACATGTGTGCAAAGCCTTAACTTCATTACTCCTGTGTGTCAACAAATACAAGAGAAATGTGCGGCCAGCCCATCCATTACGTGAAAGAGCACCGCGCCTTCTCTCTTCACCTCCCTTTGTTGATGAACCAGGAACCATAAATTAATCCCTCTCCGTGGCTCCGGGAAAGACCCAAGTGTTTGGACCACACTCTGCACCCCACGCAGCCCCGGCCCGGAGTCCTCACATTCCACAGATGACCTTCTCGGGCCTCCAGTACCTGGGAACATGTCCCTGGTCTTCTGCGGGTTGACACTGTCTCCACTCAGAGAGGAAAGCTACTACGCTCAGAGCTGATGGGGTTTCCTGCCTTCCTAGTTTTAAAAGGCCTGTGGGTGGAGGGGCTTCAGTCAATCTGCACGGTGCCTGGTTCATGCTAGCACGTTTCCCTCAATATGCAGACGTGATTCCAATGCACTTGGCGTCTGAGGGCTCATCTCCTGTGCTGGGTGCAGGGTAATGTGTTTGTGAGACAGAGAGAGAGGGTGTATGCGGGGGAGTGAGAGGGAGGGAGGCAGATATGGAGACAGAGAGAGATGACATATATATAATATGTGTATCGTATACAGAGAGGAGGTGGAGGTACAGAGAAAGACAGAGAGACTACATATGTGTGTGTGTATATATGTATATACAGACATGTACACACATATACATATATACACACATACATACTTGTACGGAGCCCTGGTAGCTAAGAACTCAGCTGCTAATAAAAAGGTCAGCAGTTCAAATCCACCAGCCGCTCCTTGGAAACCCTATGGGGCAGCTCTACTCTGTCCTATAGGGTTGCTATGAGTCAGAATCGACTCGATAGAAACGAGTTTTTTTTTTAATATACGTATCTACATATATATATGCATATGTATGTGTATATGTGTATATATAATATACATATAAATGTGTATATACATGTGTGTGTTATACATATACTATATATATTATATCTATACATATATACATGTATGTATGGGGCTCTGGCGTTTAAGCGTAGTGGTTAAGCGTTTGGCTGCTAATCAAAAGGTTGGCAGTTCAAATCCACCAGGTGCTCCTTGGAAACCCTATAGGGCAGTTCTACTGTCCTACAGGGTTGCTATGAGTCAGAATTGACTTGACAGCAATGGGTTTGGTGTTTTTTGGGGGGGGGATTTAAAAAATATACAGAGAGAAGAGGGTACAGAAAGACAGAGAATGAGAGAGATTTTATATATAGAGAGAGAGAGGAGGTGTAGGGACAGACAGAGGTACAGAGAAAGAGGCAGAGAGACTCTATATATATAAAATATAGAGAGAGATATATAATCTCTCTCCACATATATATACACACACACACAGATTTGGGTTTTTTTTTAAAAAAAAAATACATACATATATATAGAGAGAGAGAGACAGAAAGACAGACAGAGGCACAGAGCATGTCCCTGTGAGCAGGCGCCCCAACACCAGAACACAGACACACGAGGAAGTACCCGTCGGCAGTGGCTGCAGCGAGACTTCAGGACGAGCTGGGGGTCTGGGAAGAGGCCCGTGGTGAACGGCTGCATTTAGGATGCTGAGCGTGGGGAGTCCGAGTGCTTCCTCGGCCACAAAGACTCCCATGCACGTGACGGCCCCACCGGGACCCTGGGCCAGGGCCTGCGCAGCCACCACGGGGAGCAGGCGTTGCCGCCCGGCCCACACGCCACCCTCTATTTTCTGTGTTTGCGACATGCAGGTCGGTCCAGGCTGATCCCCACCCTCTGTCTGAAGAGTCTTCAGGAGCACTGGCATCCTCTGGTCGCTAATGTATAATATATAGCTCTAAAGTGAGCCGACTACTGTCTTGTTACCGAGCATAAAAAAGTAAGGGCAATAAAGATACATTAGTTCTCGCAAGCGTAGCAGCGATAACGCAAGCAAGAAAGGTTGCTGCTCGGAGTTAAGAGGCAACGTTTCTGCCTGACTAAGACAATGGAAGAGTAAAGAAAATGTCAAACCAAGAAAAGCTGGATTTAGAGATGAGGCGGCCCGGGATGACGTGGGCGCCGAATTTTGTGAAACCGTAATGCTGTTGGCAGCAAAGACCCGTGTTTCTGATTCATCTAGGGCCGCGTGGCAAAGCTTTGTCAGTCTGTGCAAGGTATAAATAATTCAGGGTGAGAGATGGCAATTACAGGGCCCTGCACAACCAAAATGAATATTTTATGAGGACTAAAACTGCTCTGGAATGAATCATACACATGGAGTCACACACACATGGCTAGTGGGCTCATACATGCCAGCCCGAGGAGAGAGGCACTCTGGCCCTGCCTCCTTCCAGGCGCCGACCGGGAACCTGCAGGACAGCAATAAGCAAACAGGGACCAGGCCTCCCCACCGCGGGCGCTGTGCTCCCACCCCAATAAGCGCCTGGCCCATAAAATGCACAGCGGGAGGCACGAGACCACGCCAAGCAGTCTTCGCTGCTACACACCACAAGTTTGGTTTTAAAGAGTACTTCTGAATTCGCATCGTGGCCTGGCTTCTTATTTCGACTGCTGAAACTATAGTAGGTTTAGGCTGGGCCTTCTAAAGGTGAGAAGATGGTCTGAAGTCTGGTACAAGTTAGAGGAACGGTTGTGTGGCCCTTGGTGAAATCCAAGAGGGAGGAAGGAAGGAGAGGAGGCCTGGGTGGTACAGATGGTGAACGCCTTTGGCTGCTCATGGTAAGGTTGGAGGCTGGAGTCCACCAAGAGGTGCCTCAGAAGAAAGGCATGGCGATCTATTTCCAAAAACTCGGTCACTGAAAACGCTGTGGAACACAGTTCTACTCTGAGACACATGCGGTCTCCATGAGTTGTAGTCAACTCAGCGGCAACTGGGTTTGTTGTTGTCTTTGTTAAAAGAGGGAGGGAGTGTGTACCTCTGTGTGCTTTATTCTCACACTCCTGAGTGTGGTTTTTCATATTCTTCTTTCAAATAAAAGCACGTTCTTCAGTTCTTCCTCTGCCTTTTGGACTGAATCTAACAGGGTCCAGGTCACTCGACTTGGGGGTGAGACCGGACCGTCTAATGTGCCCATGTCCAAACTCCCAGGTAAAGTCCAGGTCACTCACTCGACTTGGGGGTGAGACCGGACCTTCTAATGTGCCCATGTCCAAACTCCCAGGTAAAAGTTACTTTCTTCACTTTGAAAAGCGGTCTGCTCCTAATAGGGGTAGGATTATGCCCAAAGATACCTTTAAAGGCTGAAAGGATGGTTTCATCTGCTACATTTCCTCCAAAAATGCTTCTGGTGAAACGCTGGAACAAATAACAACATTGTTCGCGAGGCCGAGGCGGCCCAGCCCCACTGGTGAATGGCTATTGTGTTTATCCAGCTACTGATACCTGGGCTTTTGTGGCGGAAAGAAGGTCGGGGCTGTGACATCAGCACAGCACAAGTGGCCCTCTGTGCAGAGAGGGCCCTCGCTTCGGTGGGAACCGGGCACCAGATCTCTC